GGGATTACCTTCACCGTGTGCACCCTGATTTCATCGCAGTTGCATGGCCATGCACGGAATGGACCATCATGCAGAAAGCCAACCAGAAGACATGGACTCAGAAACAAGCACTTCTCGCACGGCGAGTTGAAGCTCGCAAACTACTTCGATTCACCCGCAGAGTCACATTGTGGCAGGCTCGGAGCGGTCGGGCCATTTTGGGTGAGAACCCACTGCTTTCATTGGCATGGAAGGAGCCTGACATCATTGATGCCTTCGGCCATCTGGATGAAGCTATTTGTGATCAATGTCAATATGGACTTCGCCATCCAGAGAACGGTATGCCTATCAAGAAGCCCACGAGGTTTGTGGGTCAAGCAGACGTAGTTTCGGAACTCCACCACCGTTGTCCTGGTGATCATCAACATCACCAGATTGAGGGCACTGTCAAAACCAGTGCCTATGGCAGAATTTCGCTTTCCTCTTGGGCAGGTGGCTACCCCCTGCCGCTGTGCCGCGCCATCATGCGAGGCGTGCACACCTTCTTGGACAAGCAGGCCAATGACACCCGCACAGAGGTCTATATGTTGGATGACCAGGTGCCAGAAGAGGCAATCCAAGAAGGAGAGGAAGGCATCGATGAGGAAGAACAACGTATTCAATCCTACAAGGATGAGAGCGAGGATGATCTTGAAGAGGAGGAGAGGCGACCCATCTCTCAAGAGGTGAAGAGGGCTGTTGAATTTGCCCATCGGCAGTTGGGCCATCCCAGCAGGGATACACTTGTTCGCATGCTGCGAATTTCAGGAGCTAATGATGATGCAATCCGGCACGCTCGCCGATGGCATTGCGATGTCTGCAGGATGCAACAGCCACCAAAGCATCCACTCGCCACAACCGCTACTTCAAGACCATTTGCTTTCAACCGAGTTTTGCACATTGACATCAAGTATCTCTTCGACACCCAGGGTCGGAAGTATCCTTGTTTGAGTATTGTTGACCTTGGAACTGTGTACCATGCAGGCTGCATGCTGAAGACCAGAAGGTCAGACTACGTCGCCCGCAAATTCTTGGTTCACTGGGTACAACTGTTTGGAGCCCCAGGACATATTTATCATGACCAAGGCGGCGAGTTCGAACTGTCTTTTACACAGCTTTTGGAGCAAATGGCTGCGCCCAGCACAGTCACCGGATCGCACGCCGGTTGGCAGTTGGCCGTCGGAGAACGGCGTGGGGGAATCTTGGGAACCATGGTTGGAGCAATCACAACCGAGCACGTCACAGAAGGTTTCCATGGTATGAAGTTGGCATTGAGCTCAGCGCTGGCAGCCAAGAACATGACCATTACCCGTGAGGGTTTCAGCCCCAACCAGAGGTTGTTTGGAACGGAGGTCCGCTATCCCAGTCTTTTGGAGGACGATGTCAAGCCTAGCTTTGCAGAAAGCTTGGACACCGAGACTGAGTTTGCAAGATCCCACCGTATGAGAACCACTGCCAGGTTGGCGCTGATCCGGATGGATGTCCAGGAAAAGATGAAACGGGCCATTTTGAGGAAGCCCGGTGTGGACACAGAAGGTCCATATGTTCCTGGATGCCAGATTTACTTCTGGGTGCCTAAGAAAGCTTCAAAAAGATACAGTCGAGGAGGTATCTGGCGTGGACCTGCAACAGTTTTGGTTCGTGAAGGACACCAACGCTATTTTGTTAGCTGGAGAGGACGCGCCTTGCTCCTTGCAACGCCAAACATGTGTTTGGCTACAAAGGAAGAACTGGCCATGAATGAGCCCGCAAAAGAAGATGCAGAAACCATTGGCCAGATGCTTCGCGATCCAGAGCGTGATAACGCTTATCACGACCAAACCCATTTCAAAGGAGCTCCCAAGCGGAAGCGCATCAGAGATGACCCTGAGCGTAAACGTGCCCGATTGATGATGCGAGGCACCAAGTCAATCCGGGAGTTGCTCAAGAGCCGGTTTGGCTTCAAAGAACAGCTCAGGAAGCGCAAGGTGCAGCTCCAGCCGCCAGAGAAAGGAGATCCGGTAGCACCGAGGAAGAAAGTTAAGAAGGCCCTACCTCCACCGCCTGCGGCGGAGTCTCAAGACTCAATGGAGGAGTATACACCTTCTCAAGCACCAGGGCCAGAGGCTCCACAGGAAGGCCAGCGGCCTATGCTTCCTGCTCCAAGTTCAGCTCCAGCGGAGCCACCTACAGAAGCCCCGCGAGCTGAAGATGTTCCGGTGCCACCCATGGATGAGAATGAGTGGTTGGAAGAATACAGACATCTCCCTCAGGAAGAACGCCGTCGCATTCTCCAAGATGATGTCCCACATGGGATCAAAAGGAAAGGTGGCATTACTGAAGAGGATGCTGACCGAGCAGTGAAGCGCCTCAGAAGCAACTTCTGCGCAGCGACTGCAGCCAGCACTGTGTGGAACCCTACAGAATGAGTGGGTTTCTCGTTATGAAGTAGAACTGCTAAGACAGCTGACAGGGTTGCCAGTTACAGCAGCCCGCATTCACAGAGCACCACGGAAGAGGCTGCAACGACCCCCGAAGATGGTGTCGCGTTCCCGCTTGAGTATCCTCATTGGAAAGGATCCAGCAAGCACTTTCATTGTCAATGAGAAAGATGCAGAGGTTGCAGCCCATCCCCGTCGGCGAGCCAGCTTCGAGTGGCGGGGTCTTACGATGTTCTATCGCACTGAAGACCCAAGCAAGCCTACAGAGGTATTTGTCGAACTGCCAGACGGCGTTCATGGGGTGACGCTCACCACCAGTGAGGCAGCAGAGTTCCAGCAGATGTGGCTGGAAGAAATGCACGATACCCTCCTTGCTGAAGTGATGATTCTAAGGATGAAACAGAGTGGCAAAGAGCTGGACCCTAGCTTCTTTGACACCTTCGAGCGACAAGCCTTCAACAAATCGGACATCAAAGAATGGTCCGAATGGATCAAGAATAAGGTTGTCCGGAGGGTGGAGAAGGGCGAGTATGTCCCGCCTTCGTGCATCTTTAGAGCGCCGCTGCGCATGTTACGGGTGAACAAAGCAGCAAGCCCACTTCTGCCTTTGGTGGCCAAGTCACGGCTGATTGTACCAGGTCATTTGGACCCACACCTGGGTGAGTTCCGCACTGACTCACCTACTTGCCCTCAGGCTGCAGTTCGAGCAGCAAAAGCTATTGCTGCTGCCCGCGGATGGGGAGGAGTGACATTCGATGTCACAACTGCATTTTGGAGCGGGAAGGAAACTTCTCGTAAGCTGTACATCCGAGCACCTCGCGAGGGTTTGCCACTGGCAATGGGATGGCCACCCATCAAGTCAGGAGAGTTGCTTGCGATTCTCAAAAGTGCCTATGGTCTCACAGAGTCCCCAAGGTTGTGGTACCTGGAGGCAGTGGATCGACTTAAGGGCACTCCCCTCAAAGAGCTAGCAGTTAGCCGCTCTACTTTTGTTGCCGGAGGCTCCCGGAGTGATCGGTGTTTGGAAGATAGCTGGGCAATTCTTTGCTTACACGTTGATGATGGTTTATTGCTTGGCGATCTCAGCGACCCTCGGGTCATCGCCCTACGCAAACAAATCGACAACCTGTTCACCATCAAGGAATGGAAAGAAGTCACTGCAGAGAAGCCAATTCAATTCCTGGGTGTTGAAATCACCAAGGATTCATCTGGATTTCATGACGACATGAGCAGGTACATCAAAGAAATCAAAGTCGAGAAGCTGCAAGGGGAAGGTCTTTTGGGACCTCGTGAAGTCACACTATACCGCCAGTTGGTTATGCGTCTTCGTTGGCCGGCACAGCAAACAATGCCACACATGCTGTACGAAGTCTCCAACCTGGCGCAGAGGGTGACAAAGGCAACCCACGCAGACTACAAGGAGGCAGTGAAACTGCATCAAAAGTTTGTGGAAGAAGCCAATGCTGGACGAGCCAGATTGACCTATCCACCGCTGGACAAGAACAACAAGTGGTTCTATGTCAGCTACTTCGATGCGTCCCTCGGAAAAGAGTCTGATGGAAAGTCACAGCTGGGTGCCGTACACTTTCTCACCACAGCAGCAGCTCGTACAGGACCGGCCGCCGCCGCGCCAGTTGAATTCAGTACGAACAAGAGTTCTCGAGTGCTGCGCAGCTCGATGTCTGCCGAAGCATGCTCAATGAGCATTTGCGTGGACCGCCATTTGTATGGTCGACTTGTTATCGACATGATGCTCTACGGGCACAAGACTCTGGATGAGAATTGGCGGACCACAATGGGAATTTCTGGAGGCGTTGTCACTGACGCCAAGAGCCTGTATGACCACATGGGTACTACAGGACAGATCCCAACAGAGCGGCAGACCATGCTTGACTTGATGGTGGCTCGTGACCACCTCGAGTCAGGTGCCTACGAACTTTTCTGGGTTCCAACTCACCGCCAACATGCAGATGGGTTGACCAAGAAGATGAAGAACATCCTATGGGAGACCTTCTGCAAGCTCCCCAGGATTTCTCTCAAGGAGACCGAGGACGAGCGAAAGCTAGAGGAGCACAGGAAAGGTTTGAGGAAGGCACAGCGACAGCGTCGCAAGGACCGCATGAAGGGCCGCGAACCTTCTGAGGCAGCGCCTGCTCGTGTACAGTATGTACAGCTGCAATCACGTCAACACACTTTTCTGGCTATGTGAAGATCATAGCTATGTACAGATAGGTAGCTTGACATGATTGCTTTCATGCATGAACCCGCACCGCAGCTTGACTCAAGCGACTTGCGTTGGAAACACCGCGTGTTTCGTTGCGCGTTTGCCCCGCGTTTTCTTTCTTGCTGACGCTACCCTGTGCACTCCGCAACTAGTAATGCCCCGTTCGTGCCCCGTTCGTTTCGCGATGGAGACCTGGTTGCTTCTTGTTACTAGAAGGGTCCTTGTTCCTAGTAGTAAGGCCAGGAGCCCCGATCGTAGCGTCCTTGCTCCGTTCGTAGCGATGCCCTTTGTTCCGTTCGTAGCTTCTTGTATTAGAGATCAGATGAGATCCAATCGAGGTTGTCTTTGTTGCCCTTCGAAGAGCAGCAGGCGGTGATGCAGTACCGGACCTTGTCTGGTGCCCAGCTCCGCTGTGCCATCAAGCCAAACCACCTAGTTCTCCCACAATTCTATCAAGAATCAGATGGAAGCCACCGAACTAGCAGGGAGGGGCGAGGCGTCCTAAACCCCCAAAAACGGTTTATACCAGGGCGGCTCGCAGGGGCTGAGATGAAGAAGACTCCGATGAAACATCAACTCGTTTCGAGAAGAACATGACCCGCCCCGCAACCGCCCCGCAACCGCCCAACGCTTTCCCATGTCGACTTCGCCGCCCGGCCGCAATGTAAGGCCAGATCGCAAGCGCACGTTGGTTGGCCGCTTGCTGTCCCTAAGAGCGTGTGCACAGGTGCAAGGGTAGGGTTTCGTGCAGCAACTGCAGTGGTTCCTCATCTTCCACAGTATGGAACATCTGGAGGCTTTGGGAGACCCAACCTATGATCACATTCAAATTGGCAGCAGCTTGGTTCAATGGTAGTTCTCAGAATGGTTCTCTTCTTTGCCAACGTTCGTGCTTCGCTCGGGCGTCACCCGATTCTGACGGCCAGGAACGAAGGGCAAAAAGCCCTTTTTGCACTCACCTCTGCCTGGCAGTTTGCCGCAAGAAAGCTTAGCTTTGACACCTTTGCCTGACAGTTGCTGAACAAGAAGCCCATCCTTCAACAAGAAGCTACTAATTAGGGGCTCCCTGGCATCGCTGGGAGCGATCGGACGCTACTAGGGCGACGTTGTTGACTCTGTTGACTTCTGAGGAACTTCAACTTCAACATCTCCCATGATGGCAACTGGGTCGTTTTGGCCTCCGATTGCTTGTATTTGGTGGGTGTGCGGCCCAGCCTGTGCTCCCCCCCCATCCTTTAATGACAATTGACAACGACATCAATGCATCGTTTCTATTCCTTTCTGATTTGTTCTTCTTGATTGTGTTTTTTGCCTCTAGACTAGACTTGTTCCTCTTCTTTTTGGCAATTTTCTATGAGTACATATACGTATTTGTGGGCTATGGGCCTTTTATCAGAACCCAAACTGGAGTCCACAAGACTGGCAAGTTCTTTTGGCTCTTTTTCCGTTCAACAAGAGGTGCTTCTTGTTCCACGTTTCGGAGGTGTTGACGTTTCTGCTCCTCAAATTGATCGTGGAGAGCCGGACGATGAGACCTGGTTTCAGGCAAGACCGCGAGCGAGTCAGCGATGTCCTCCAACCTAGAGTGATTCATGATTCAGCCGCCCTTTTTGACCAATGTTTGACGACGTCAGACACATCAAACCCTTGAAGTCTGCTGTTGCTTGCGATGCTCGGCTTACGCGGCGGTGTGGCCGAAGAATGGCATGGCTTGAGCGTCGCGTGCAGGACATGACCTCTGTTTTGACTGAGACTGAGAGGGAGACCATCAGGAGAGGCAAGACACACCAAGAGCGCTACGCCGGGCTGCCAAGAGACGGGGCCCTGGCTGCCGAGACTCGAATTTTGTGGGCGACCAGTGTCCCAATGTTTCTTCTCCGCTTTCGAGTGACGAGCATGAAATTCATGAAGATAGGCAAAGCTAGGAAGATGAATAGGCTTTTGCAGCCCTTGAGATGCAATCTTGGATATGTGTGCCCTTGAGATGCAATCTTGGATATGTGTGCGCAGACATGTGAAAACTGTACAGCCTGGTGCGCCATGCTTCCACTCTCCCCCTTCAGTCTATTACTGGCACTGCAGGTTGCTTACCTAAAGCTGGCTCTCTCTCTCTCTCTGTTTCCGTTAGCTCTTTGGGGCGCTCTATCTTAATTCACCGGGACTTTGATGAGCATGTTCACCTTTCTTTCTTTTCTTGCAAGGCCTTTTCCTGGTTTTTTCATGTTTGCTTGGCAACTCTTTCTGTTCCAGATCGCAGGCGATTTTCCAGAGGATTTGGTCTGCCAAGGAAGCGGTGGCCAAGGCTCGGAGGTCCCCCCACCACCTTGGTCGTCTCCCAAACCACCCTGATGGCACTGCGAGATCGGAGGCAGTTGGTCAAGGCCTGTCCTTCGGCCTGGAAAGGATGGAGGCCTGTGACAGGGTGAAGCTGTGCATAGTGCTGCAGCAGTGGGATTGTCCAATCACGCGTGTGCCAGGACGTTTTGCCACCCGCCAGATGAAAGTGAGAACGTGATCCGGAAATCGATCCAACAAACCACGTCACCCCTGGAGGTGTCCTTTCCAGAACTGGAGGAGGAGGGCATCGGCAGTCTGGTCTGGTCAGCCATGGGCTGGTCCAGGCTGGAAGAAAGCGTTCTTTGGTCGGAGGCCATCGCTATTGGGCTCCTTAACTTGTTGGGCTACAAGGCCTATGTTTCTTTAACAACCGGGCATTGGGTGGCTCTTCCGGCGAACGCAGGTCTGAGGAGCACCCGCCCAAACGAGGACAGACTTGCCGCAGACTTGCCGTGCGTTCGGCGGCGGTCCTGAGGACGTGAACTTGAGTTACTAGGGGCTGCTGGCCTTCCTAGCAACGATCGGACGCTACGAACGGAACACAGGGCATTGCTATGAACGGAGCGATCGGATGCTACTAGGATTAGGCATCGCTACTAGGAGTCATAAATGCCGGATCCTGTGGCAAGTGAAGCGGAGAAAGCAGTGAAGGAAGCAAGCGTGGCATATGTTGACAGGTCGGACAAACTTCTCATCCTTATTGGCCAACTTGCAAGGCCCCGGAGTCAAGTCATGAAAAAAGCAAGCACCCTTTTTGCTTCTTTTTTTAAAGTAATAATTTTTAAGTAATAAAGGGATGTACAAAGTAAGAAAGAATGAGAAGAGATAAGAAGAGAGGAAAACGAGACAGACAACACGAAAAACAACTTTTTGTTAAGACTTTTTGCTTGAAGTCTTCACTGCAGCGAAGTCCGCCCAAGATGTGGCCAATTGGCCAATAGTAGCGATGGCCTCCACCCTAGAAGCGATGGCCTCCAACCGACTTCCGTAGTGCCCTACTAGCGATGGCGACCTAAGATGGCCTTTCGACCACCTTGATCCGCCTTGGATTCGATTTCTTTTCCCTTGATCCGCAGCCCGCGAGGTGGGGCTCGAGGGGATCGGCCCAAAACTCAGAGGGTGGAGGGCAGTGGAGGGCGGACACGTGCACCCCCGCAAAGAAGAATCCGAAGGCATCTGCGGTTTTCCAGGCAAAGCAAGAGGCTGGAGGATGGCAGGGCAGTGAACTTAGTCAATCAGATTGACAGAGCTCTTAAGGCCAGGAGCTACTGGTAGCGTCCGATCGCTCCTAGTAGTAAGGCCAGGAGCCCCTAGCGATGCCCTTTGTTACTAGTAGCTTCTTGCTCCTAGTAAACTGCATCGCACTAGCTTCAGGTTCTTCAAGGGAAGCCGTGCAAAGTAGAATTGCATATCGACCACTGGCTGCGGACAGACTGGATGGTGGAGCAACAGGACATCTTTTTGGGCATTCTTTGGATGTTTCTTCACTGCCCAACAGCCGTATCAGACTCGAGCTCATTGGCTGATGTTTGTTTTGAACCATGTCTTTCTCAACGGATGGAGGCCATCGACCTTAGGTTGGGAGGCCATCGCTACTAGGGTTGGGAGGCTAGGGCCATTGCTATTAAGTTGCAGGCCATTGCTAGCAGGTCGGAGGCCATCGCTAGTAGGTTGGAGGCCATCCCTCTCAGGTTGATCTTGTTTTTTCATGTTTCTCTTGGCTCCGCGAGGAATTCTCGGGTGGATCCTGGGTGACCGTGGCGTTGGGTCCTGTGGATGACGCTGTGGATGCCGTATCACGGCTGGAGAAAAGCGTTGGGTCCGGTGTGACGCGGTGCGTTTGTGGATTCGGTTGGAAGGAGTTCGGTGTTTGATCAAAAAACAGCAAGGGGATGGAAGACAGGGTTTGTTGTTCTTAGTGAAACCAACCTACTAGCGATGGCCTCCAACATCCTCCAACCATACTAAGCGATGGCCTCCAACCACCTGTCTAAAAAGGAAAGACTGTAAAGGACTGTTTGTCGATTTGGCCATCCCCCTTGGATTCTATGAGCCGACTCCATGTCTCAAGGACGGGAACTTCAAAACGACATTCCGCATCCCTGGTTTGGGAGGTCCTGCAAGCGTGGAGGCTCGCGTTTGCAAACACTTGTGCTGGCTTTGCAAAGCCATGTGACATCACTCAGATGCATCGAATTTTGAATCCGCGATGCCGCCAAAGAGCTTGATACCAGGTTGCTAGCTTTCAAACGCCTTGGTTGGACAGCTTGCACTGTAGCTTGGAAACACGGCCTGTCCCCAGGACGTGTTTCCAGGGCCTGGGTTCCCTGTGTGGTGTTGGCCGGCAACTGGGTCTGAATAAAGGAAGGCCTCGGCAACTGGGTCTAGTTGCCATGTTTCTCCTGGTCTGGCTTTGCAGAGGTTGAGTCCGGTGTACATTCGATCACGTGACGTGCAATGATGCATCAAATGCATCTGGCGGCAAAGCGCTTCAACAGCGCAACAATCTGCCTCGAGCAACGTGGAACTGGTCAAGATCTTTCTTGGCCTGTTGGCGCCTGTGGGCGCCAGTAGGGGAACTCTTGTGGTCGCGTGCAGGCGCTGGCAGCTAAAGGGCAGTCGAATCCTTAGATGTGGAAGGCGGTGGTGTCTTTTGCGATCTGACTCGGCGAGACCTCAGGACAGAAGCTTCACAGAACTGGATTCCCAAACCTTCAGGCCAGCGGACTCTCCCGGCTGTGCTTTTCCACTTCTGTCGTGCTCATGTTTCTCCTTCCCTTTTTCCAGAACCCGCGTCGTTTGGCAGGTTTTCACCAGCTCTCAGTGGATGCACTGGCCCCTGAGAAGGTGTGTGTTGTGGTGCATGTTTCAGCGCCCGAACTTGCCAATCCAGATGGGAATCTCTTACCTAAAGCATCCTAAAGCTACTAGCAGCTGCTGGTTATTACTTGATCTTACTTGCAAGAATGTCCAGAAAGCTCCGATAAAGATCATTGGTCCAGTACAAGTAGGATCCTTGCCTCTAAAATTGCTTCATTTTACGAACAAGACTGAAGGAATGAAGATATGAATAGCATGTAGATGCATATAGTTTTGACATTTTGTGATAAGCTCGTTTTACCTTGCTTTTGCTTTGTAGGTCCGAAAGGAGCTTACGGCGCTGAAAGCTCGCTCCTGGGCTGCAGCGGCTGGCGTGTGACTCATGACTCCGTGTGACCCAAAAGCGCCGCCGCGGCTCCGGAGAGAGCAATGCGTCAAGTGATGCCCTTTGCTCCTAGCTATAGTAGCATCCTTGCTCTTAGTAAGGCCCGGAGCCCCTAGTGGCGTTCTTGCTCCTAGTGAAGCAAGATGAAGCAAGACCCAAATTCGCACTGCTCAAGTCCAGCTGCCATATATGATGCATGCTGTGCAATCTCGACTGACTCATGATTGGGCAGCCGCAAGGGTAGGTAGCAGGTAGCTCCACCTTTTCAATCGTCGGGTTTGATATCACCACGTACGTTGAAGACTGCTTGAAACAGCATCGCCATGGGCTGCTGCACCTCTCAGAGTGGCAAGGCGAGACCTTGGCAAAGCTGTGTTGTCCGTGCGGCGCCATGTTCTCCAGGGCCCTGACAAAGCGAAGATCGTCGCTTGAACGCAGCGAAGATGTCTCGATCGTCCGTTCGCGGACACGGCGGATGTGTGTCGAGGCGAAGACCAAGTCCGACAAGCCACCCGTCAACGGCAAAGATGGACCAAGTCTCAGTTTTTGACCAATCCGGGGATGGACCCGTCGCAGTCGCAATGGCTGCCCATTTCTACGAGTCCGGAGCGATCGGACGCGACGTAGCTCCGGGCATCGAAGAACGGAACGCTACCGCCCTTCGACGCTCTACTGCGCTCGCCGAGGCCAGTTGTTGACCGAATTGGACGCCCTCTCGATCGCCGGGGTTCCCAGCGACCCTTTCTTCTTCCCGTCGGCGTCCCGGGACACACGGGGCGTCGGGAGGTGCTCCGAAAGGACTCGAGGTGCTCTCCAACACGGAGCTCGTAGCGTCCTAGCGTAGCTCCGTTCGGTTCGCGTCCGATCGCGAACGGTTCGAGTCGCGAGGGCCCTTTGCTCGTCGCGCCCCGAACGGTCCCAGGTTGACATTGTGGAGAGCACAGGCGCGGCTGGCAGTGGCCGGAAGATTTTCGTAGGTGGAAAGAGGGCGGGGCTCTCAGAGGCACGAAATGCATCGAAATGCATTTCTTGGACCTCAATTCCTGTTCGCTAAGGACGTTGATCCTCTAAACATGGCATCTTTTGTGGACAGGCCACTTGGAGCAAGATGCTACTAGCGGCGCTCCTGGCATTACTAGTTAACTAGTAACAAGGGGCGTCGCTACTAGGAGGGAAGAGAGCAGACATCGTTTGCAATTAGGTTGGAGGCCATCGCTTAGTATGGTTGGAGGCCATGGCTAGTAGGTTGGAGGCCATCACTAAAGACCAAAAAGAAAACAACGAAAAGAAACAAGAAAAGAACGCACAGACAAGAACAGACGCAAGAGACTCTTTGCATCTGCCATCAACTGCCATCGGCTGACTCTGCTCGTGAGGTGTGTTGAAATCATGGGTGATGCCGACACACTTCCCGCAGGCATTGCTTTCACTTGCCGCAAGGGCAACTTGGCAAGTGGAGACGCTCATCGTGCTAGAACGAGCAAGGTAGTCAAGCAACGCTCGCGCCACGACTCGTAGCGCTACTCTGGCACTGACATCCGAACCCAAGGCTTAAAGCCAGACACTCCGAATCAAGATACCTGGTGTGCCCTGAAGATGGACCGTTTGTTTGCCGCTGTGTCAGTCAAGACACGATCCGGACTCGCATGGGAGATGAGCCGCGCCGAAGCGCCGGGCAGGACACCTTCTCCATCTTCGCCGTCTTCGATGGTCATGGCCCAAATGGACACGAGATCTCCCATTTCGTGAAGGACACGAGATCTCCGCAAGCCGGTGAAAGAAAAAAGGAGAGCCGAGCGAGAGCCGAGCGAGAGAGCGAGAATGCGGGCAGGAGCATCTTCCCAAGGTGATTGTGCAGGATCCCAGGAATCTTGGCACAAAGTAATAAGATGAGACATGATGAGCAAGGACGCTATTACGCTACTAGGGGCTCCTGGCATCGCTACTACTAGGAACAAGAAGCTACTAGGAGCTCCTGGCCTTGCGATCGGACGCTACGAACGGGCAGAATAGTGATGAGACATGGTGAAACACGGTGCGACTTGAAGACGTGGCATGAAACCCGTGAGTTCAGGAAAGAACCGACCCGAGCCATCGCGATGGCTTACTAGTAGTAACAAGAAGCTACTAGGAACAAGTGCATCGCTACTAGTAACAAGTGCCTTACTAGTAACAAGAAGCTATTTGGAACAAGAAGCTTACTTGTTCCTAATAGCTTCTTGTTACTAATAAGGCACTTGTTACTAGAAGCGATGCACTTGTTCCTAGTAGCTTCTTGTTTCTTCTTTCTTTTTTCTGAGGTCAAAGGCTCCTGAAGTCGGCTCCTGCCTGGCAGATGCATTCAAGAAGACTCAGAGACTTGTTGCTCGACGTGGTTCCTATATGTTCGTATTGGCTTCTCGTGGTCCACAAAGGGAGGATCCGGATCCGAAGATTCTAAATTCAGGTGGAGCTACTAGTAATGGCCTCCAACCTAAGAGCGATGGCCTCCACCCTAGTAGCGATGGCCTCCACCCTAGTAGCGGTGGCCTCCAACCTACTTGGAATTCAGGTGGCCGCAGCGGAAAGCCGCAAGAGATTGTATGCGCGGACATCGGGCACGACAGCCACAGTGGCTTTTTTTGCCGCGCAGCCTGCAGAGAGCACACGTAAGGTATATAGTAAGGAGTGACACTGAAACTGCTTGAGATATTGCGCCATGCATACCACGGGTGAATATGTAGATACATGTCACAGGTTTTTTCTATGATTTCCTTGCGCTGTTCCACCCTCAGGATCACTCACGGTCTAAGCTGACGATTGCCCATGTGGCTGACAGTGCCGCAGCCATCGGCACCAAGATGGGTTCAACACTTAGTAGGTTGCGCTTGCTTGCTTGTCACATCACATGTGGCAGAATCAGGAGAGAAGTGGCTGGGGAAGCCCCTGACGCGCGACCACAAACCCAATGTAAAGGCTGGTTTGCAGCCGTTCAGCCATAAAACAGCATTCAGCTTCAGTCTTGCCAGGGGGAACTTGAAAGAATCGAGAAGACAGGTGCCAAGATTGTTCCTTGGCAATTCAGAAGGATGGAATTCTTGTCACATCGCATTGGAGGTTGACCCCCCCCCGCCAATTAACAAGAATCTAACAGGACCCGTCCTTCTTTCCGTCGAGTTCCGACACGTCTAACGCTACCGGTTCGTGAAAACTCCTTCCCTCTCAAGCGTCAGCTACCTTCCCGAGGGCTTCGATGGCACCAGTCATCGTGTCTATGCCGCTTGGCACCGGAAACTCGAATTGGACGACTCGTTACTAGAAGCTACTAGGAACAAGTGCATCGCTACTAGTAACAAGTGCCTTACTAGATCCCCCTTGGTTGTGCCATACTGAAATCCTAGACGTAGACGTGACTATTTCAGAAATAAAAAAACTAGCGAAAAAGTTCGCTGATAAGGAAGTCAGGTAGGACCCAGGAAAAAACAACAAGAAATGAGGCTCTTTTGAAATCCTTTTGCTTAGGGTAGGGCGCCAGGATTCCAAAAACACGTAGGACTACAGGATTTCACTAAAATTGTAGGATTTCACAAGGTAGAGATGCTGGGGTTGTGCTAAGACTTTAGATATTCTAGAGATACTGGAGAGGACGCTTTTTGCTGTGGCTGTGCTTGTGCATTTGCTTTTTGCAGCATTTATCTGCTCGGCTGATAGATACACATGCTGTATATACAACATAAGATTGCAATCAATTTAATCAAATGATGGCTTGCGTATGGGGCCATGTAACCATTTGTTTTTAAATGTAAACAATGGTACAGTCGCATTTTTTGGAGTGGTAGCTGACAGAGAATTCGGGCCATGTCTTTGCAAACACCAGAGTCAAACAACGATATCCGACGATATCGAAAAATAACGAAAAAGTGCCAAAATAGACTAAATTTAGTCTTCGGGGATGATTTTCTTTGATTTTCGAGAAAATGAATGCGACGATATGGGACGATATCCGACGATATCGAAAAATCACAAAAAATGCCAAAATGCCAAAAAAATGCGCTCACTGCTTGAGTATTAGGTAGATACCCAGGATTTTACTAAACGTTTGATCAGCTTGGACTCCTTGTTTTTTCCTTGGTTCCCTACCCCCTGAACACACGTCGGTCCAAAGGATTTTACAAAAAGCACTTTTTGGGAAAAAGACCTAGGGCACCAATGAAAAAATACAAAGTCACCTTGGATCAGTAGGATTTTAATATGTAAAATCCTGGGGATCTACGTTAGCGGTCAGTACAAAGGGGGATCTTACTAGTAACAAGAAGCTACTAGTAACAAGTGCTACGAATTGGACGACGTCTCGTCTCGTCAAGGACGCGTCTCCGAGCCTCGCTCGTTCGAGGCCAAAGACTCGCGCTTCCCTGGGCTGAATATGTCCCGTTCTTTGGGAGATACGTTAGGCCAGGACGGATCAAATGAGGAAAGACAAGACAACCTTTGTGTATTTTTTTCTTTTAGTGCTATTTTATTCAGCTTCTGATAGTTTTCGCATGTTTGAAAGCACTGCCAAAGAGGCTATTATACATGTGATGCTATAGAACATGCTCTCGAGAATGAGTCACAAGGGGTCAATTGCAAGGGTATTGTGCGCAGAGAGACGAGGCGTCAATACTGCACGTTTTTCATCGTGCAACTTCAAGTTTCCAAAAGTTGTTGATGCGTCTTCCCCTTTCACCCAGAAAGCATGCGTTGACCACCCATTTCACAAGACCATATGTCTGATTTTCAGGTCACGCAGAGTGTGGCATCACTTGTGAGCCAGAGATCACCAGGCTGGGGGAGTTTCAGCATTGGCATTTCCACATTTTGTCCAACGCGACAAACCGGGTGACGTGGTTCGAAAAAAACGCGGACATCACGGGTGATTCTCACAGCGCATCCGCTGTGCTTACCCTGTGAGGCTTGACATTGATACGAGCTCCAAGCAGATGTTGCTGATCTGTAGCGACGGGGTTTGGGAGTTCATCTCTGCTCAAGAGGCGACGGACGGGGTGAGTTGAAAATGTGGCAAGGTCTCTCGAGGCTGAGCTGAGAAATGGATGCCATCACGTGGATGCCATACATATATATATATTTAGTTATATATAACTCTATATAAATATATGACTATAATAACTGATCATTAGTAAACGACTTAGACATATATTATATACATTCTTTGCACAAGACTTGATGCGGACGTGGCTTGCCACGCGGTTCTAGTGGATTCTTCAAAGGCCGTGGAGATTGTTGGCATGCGCCCACCTGAATTGTGTGACGAAGCTGTGAGCCTGCTTGCAAAAGAATCCTGGGATCGCTGCTTGGTCCATAGAGAAAACATGAAAGAAAACGAAACGTTTCAGAAAACATGAGAAGAGAAGGAAGGTGTCTGAAGGGTTTCTAACAAGATCTGCAAGTTGTAAGATTCGGTTTGTTTCAAGCCTGCTTCTTTCTTGCATGGGGAGACTTATTATTGGACACCAGGATAAACAGCACACCACGGTGTTGGAGTGCACTTGTGATTCTTGAGACGCAGGCTGGATACGTGAAGAAGGAGCAGCGGTGGTGGATGATATTACCGTGGGTGTGGTGCACATTGGCAAGGACCGACGACGTGTCTAACACACGACGCCGAGAAAAAGAGAGACTCTTCTCATCGACCTCTCATCGACCTCTCCTAAGATTAGTTAGATTAGGTTCAATTCTAATTCAATTCTTGTTTCTAGATTTTCTAGTAGCGTCCTCTTGTTCCTAGTAGTACGGCCAGGAGCCCCGATCGTAGCGTCCGATCGCTCCGTTCGTAGCGATGCCCTTTGCTCCTTGCCGAATCGGAATGCACCGAGGAGGATTGCGGCAATTGCAGCATATAATTTGGTCAAGGGTGTACAGCTGCATGGAATTCGACTTCTTGGCGCTCAGCTCATACTTTCTTAGAAGGTCAGGCACTTCTTTTTCGTTGGAGGCGTTGGCTATTAGGTGCTTTCGGAGCCCTGCGCCGAGGATGCACGTTTTTCCGGGTCACTCCGGACGTTCGCGAGCCTTTGGTCGCGGCTTTCTTTCCGAGACGGGTGGACCCAAGAGGCAAATGGCAAGCTAAGCCACCCCAAAACCAAACCGATTTGATGCAAAAGAGGTAAATTGAAGCTTGGGCAGGTTTTGGAGTGTTGCCTTCCACGCCACCGGAGGGAGATGTTGGTCATCGAACCGCTTCTGTCAGGCCAAAAGGCCGATTTTTGGTGACAGGTTGGCCAAGTCAGTCGTCATTTTCGCGGCGCTTCGTGAATCATCCCCTCTTGTCGTATGCTTCGGCGCTTCCACCACGAAAAGAGCGAACTGGTGTAGCTCTACTTGAGTGGAAGGCACGACCTACACGCTTTCATTGGTGTGACCCACATGGTGTGACCCACCTCAATACGCTCCCGTCAACATTCTTCAACTCAAACGCTTGCAAGTAGATTCGTCATGCAAGTTGGCGTTTCCTTTGCCAGCAGAAGTTGACTCAAGTGGACACACAAGAAAGGGCACCAGCACTTCAGAAAGCAGAGACACTTCTCTTGACATAGCTGCATCGTTCCATGCTATGGCAGACAAGCCTCTGCTTATCATCAAGGAGGGGACTGGGAGAAACACCGATGTTTGCTCTTTGTTAGTTTGTTTCATTTTCGCGCCTTGCGTGTCTCAACGTCGAACTTGTGAGAACACCTTGAGGGCATCCCTGAGAGCTTCCACACACCAGATTTGCGAGTCTTCTTCGAACCGGCCGTGGAGTCGCGCTCTCGGCCATCACTCTGAAGACCTGTGCAGAATCAAATCTCACAGCAGGATGCCGAGAGACTCAGAGAGATGGCCTCCAACCTACTAGCAATGGCCGACTAGCGATGGCCTTCAACCTACTAGCGGTGACCTCCAACCTAAGAGCGATGGCCTGAGGCAAGGGCTTTTTGCTTGCTTCCATTTTCGCCGGGAGAAGGCGACGTGGTCAGACGTCCGTCGGAGGGGCGAGACGGAGCTAGTCGCTGCTCAGGCTCAACCGAGCAGCGAGTTGACCTGCCGTGTCCAGGCCAGAAGCGAGGACTGAAGAGGGAATCGATTAAAAGCAACCCAAAAGGGAGGCAACCGTTATACAACAAAAGGATCGGAAAAAAAGGGGAGGAAGGGCAAACGCTGACAGGTTGCACTGATGCTGTCGTCCTGTTTGCACAGGAAGCGGCCGAAGAAATCATTCGCTGCTTTCACAACATGCCCTGGCGGGAGGTGCATCCGGCTCATGGGCGTTGAGCGACAAGATATGACAAGATTAAGAAGAAGCCTTTAGAGCAAGTATGCACAAGTGATGACAAGTCTATTTGTGCTTGACATTTTGACATGCTTTGACCATTCGACATTTTGTCCACTTCCTTCGCAATCCTTTCAACCTTCCCTGTCTCTTTTATTTTGGTTGCAGCATGCAATCTTGTTGACATGTTTGCGTTTTGGCAGGTTTTGATCGAAGCTGACGTGCTAGTCTCAGATTGGCAGCGGCCATTTGACCACCGGTGACAGCGACGGTTTTTTCGAGCTCCAGGTCTCTGACAAAGCATGCTGCGTGGTTGAAAGAGGACACGCACGACATGAAGCAGCACCATTGGCAGAGTTGACGCTCGTGACGCTTTGGCCACAAGGGCCGACGGGCCGACAAGGACTAGGAACAAGAAACTACGTTCGGGGCTCCTGGCCTTACTACTAGGAGCGATCGGACGCAACGAACGGGGCTTCTGGCATCGCGACTCGAACGGAGCGATCGGATGAATTTCGACCTCCGCGGGGCAACAAAGCTAAGTCTGGTAGACATCTTCGCCAGGCTGATCGGTGGGAGTTGCATCCACCTCCAGGCTTGCCACAGGCCAGTTCCGATTTTGTTGAATGCTCTCATTTCAGGCCAGTTCCGATTTTGTTGAATGCTCTCATTTCAGATCCATGCGGAACCCAAAGGGTTTCGTTTTTTTTGATAATGGAATGTGTCTTTTCTTGTAGGTTGGAGGCCATCGCCATTCGTAGCTCAATAGAAGATGGTTGTTTTCTTAAAACGCTTCCTTTTCTTGGTGCCAGGGCAACGTGGGCACTGCAAGATCTGCGGTGCTGGCCGCCATCCGGGCCTGCAAGCTGTGCGATGCACGGTGAAACGGTTTGTTTGAAGAAGACATGAAGGGCACCACACTGGGCAAACGGCCTGTGATGGTTTGCCATAATGCCACACCATCGCAACTGATGCCTTTGCACCTTTGTGCGGAATCTGCTTGATCCGTGCCATACAGAAAGAATGCTGAGATTTAAGGCCAGCCTCTGTCATCAAGAGGCGTGCGCGGCATGCCACGTCGTGGGTTGCCAGCATGTCGACCAAAACGATTTGTCAGGCTAGGAGTTGTGCCAAGCAAGATTCGCAGCACGCGAAGCTCTGCAGCTATTCCACCACCTTTGTGTTGGAGAGCCGAGGACTGCTTCCAGAGGGCATTGTTTTAACAATGTTTAGCATGTAAAATGTGAAGCAACTTTGTTGTGAGGAGAGCAAGAAGCCTCTTCTGGAAGGCTTTCGAGAAAGTATTTTTGTCGTTGTAGTAGGTTGGAGGCCATCGCGAGTAGGTTTCTTTATTCTCTTCTTTCATGTTTTGCCCACAAAAACGGCAGACAAAACGACGAACTCTTTTCGACGCGCCAAGCTCGCCGTCCAGCCGAAGAGGTGAAGCGAAGGACGTCCAGCCGTCGCGGCCTGACGCGCCGCAGCCGAAGACACCGAAGGAGTAGCGTCCGATCGCTCCGTTCGAGTCGCGATGCCAGGAGCCCTAGTTGCATTCATGTTCCTAGTAGCAAGGCCAGGAGCCCCTAGCATTCATTAGTCAATCCAGGTACAAATGTCCATTGAAAAATGGAAGAGTTAGTTTCACCCATTCAATGATTCTTTCCTTGTTGCTTTTCATAATCAGATTTATGTGTATGTGTGTCTATATTTATTGTTTATTTTCCAGTCACCTTTAAAGCTTATTGTTTCATGTTCTTCCATGCCGCTTGTGAGTTCTGTCGCGCGGTGTATGATTAAGCACGGTTGGGCAGGAGGGTGTGTCCAAAAAGTCGTTGGCGACCTCCAAGCTGTTAACTTCCCTCAAAAGCCAGACACTCTGACTGGGTCTTGCGAAGTGAAAAGAGCAATGAGCTTCGAGAATTTCCTAGTCTTTGGATGCTTTGGTGTCTCTTTCGCTGCTAGTAACAGGTGCCACGCTAGTAGTAACAAGTGCCTTACTAGTAGTATCAAGAAGCTATTAGAAGCTTTGGTGTCTCTTTCGATGCTGTTTCAAGTTCTTTGCAAGTTCGCACAACTGCATTTGTGCTTGTGTGGCTGCTCAGGGGCGCGATCGCCACCCGAACCAAAGGTGCACGTGGACTGGGCTAACATGTCCCATCGTGCGCCTGTCCCATGCTTGGCAGGAGCCATTGCGGGAGTTAGCCAAATCTCGGAAGCGTTGAGCTTAGAGTGGAAAAGAAGAATTCAATGCTGTCAATACTTGTGGTTCCAGGAGTGGCAGTAAAGAATGCATCCAAGCCCCACGCCAATAAGACGCTCTTTTGTTGCCAGTAGGATGGTGTCCAAGCAGTTCCAGACAATGGATGGCCTCCATTCTACTAGCGATGGCCTCCAAAAGCATTCAGGGGGAGTCCACGTCCAGTGAGCACCAAGTCCAAAGTTTAACCAATAGTGACAGCACAAGCAACGCAAAGCAATCAATTTCTCGTCGCAGCAGCACAGAAAGAAAACCGTCGCAGCAGCACGGAGAGTGTGCTATTAATTGCCAAGTCCATTCCCCAAAGGTAAGGGTCAGTAGAGCGTAGTGACTCATTTCAGACATCAAGTAGAGTCTAAAAGTCTAACTAAACAACATCAAGACAACTTGTTCCTCGGGCAATTCAACTGGCGCACGTTCCTTGGTACAGACTTCAACTATCTTCAATGCATTGCAGGTGTGCCCAGCCGAAAGAGGGCAGGGGGCTGAGTACGCTGCATTGTGTGTGGAGCATGTAGCGCTTCGTTTTGCATTGACATTGTTTGGGTATGTGAGAGGGGTCAACTGGCACCCGTAACTCAAAGCCCCATGCCCGTCCCCAGTAAACCATGAAGCAAGTTCCTTGAGCATCCTCGAGCTGCCAACCGGCTGGCGGTCAAATACCTTAAGATTCTTTGTCCACAACCCCACTGCGATCAGGTTTTGCATAGCTTTGGCCGTTGCATGCTGTGCTTTTCGAGGTGAGTCCGAGCATCTGGAAGGCGTGGCACCGGATTCGCTCACCATCACTGCTTCCCACCGGCGCTCCCGTCGCGAAAAGCTCGCCATGTGCCGCAGATCGCCATGTGCCACGGCCTTTGGACACGGAGCCCGATGACTTCGACGAACCACTGGAAAAGGCCGAAAAGACCTCCGAGAGATGAACAACTAGCTAGCTAGTAAGATCTCTTCATGTGATTCACCTGCCTTTTCTTGTTTTTTTTTTTTAAATTAGTCTTTTGAAGTCCTTTCATGTTTTTTTTTGGCCCTCTGCACCTCAAACGGAGAAAACATGCATGAAGACGACAATGAAGACCACTCTTGGTGAAGCCAGGCTCCACACTACGAGCGCAGTGACAGGCTTGACTCTGCTGCCGGGTACCTGTATGAGGCCCGCATATTTCAATACCGGAAGCCCTGTCGTCACCCAGCGAGATGCCAAAAAAAGAGCGTTTCTTGCGCAGGACACGGTTGAGCAGATCTGGGACAAGCAAGATGCTTCGGGATTGGTTTGGTGCCTCGTTTTGGAGTCTTTTTGGCAACACTTAGACGTACTTAGACTGTTTGGAGCGTGGTTCTGGCATCATGTCTTGCTTTTGAAATGCTGCTTGTACTCAGATTGTGTGCTTCAATTGTGGTGCGGAGTTTCTTCTAATAGTTGGAGGCCATGGCTAGTAGGTTGGAGGCCATCGCCCATTGCTATTTGGTTGGCACTGCTTGCGGGATCTCTACAGGTACACTGACGCCGCATTCTGGGACCGCATGGCGGGAGATTTGGACGAGCGCTGTGCTGATGGATGGGACGTTGAGGACGAGGTCAACTCTGACACAGGTAGGGGCCATGCAGACATGATGATCATGATGACATCATGATGAACTGCGCGCAATGTGAATGATTTGCATCACATCCTTGAAGTAGCTTTCATGTTCTTTCTTCCCAGTAGCTTGAAGCCTCACATTTTGGTCACATGTTGCCCTGGATGGTGTTTTTGGAATGCGCTCCCTCCAAGCAAGTTCTCACAAGTCCCACAGGTATCGATGAGGAGACCCCGCAGCTGCGGCACTCACGTGCGGCCGTGGGGATGGAGCAGGGCTGTGGACTAGCTGCAGTTCGCCGTGGCGCAGCAGGACCTGGAGCTGTTCGAAAGAGGCCTTCGTGGCCTTCGTGGCGCATGGCAGTCTGGCCACAGCGGACGACACGGATGTGATCTTCGCCGACGGGGCCCGTCGCTTCTCAGGACGCATCATGCGCTCGTGGGGCGGCCATCTGTCGGCAGCTCCCAGCAGCACGTGTCTTGACGAAGAAACGACTCCTCCCCTCTATAGGAAAGCCCGGTGCACCCAGCAACTGGAACCTGGGGAGTAGGTTGGAGGCCATTACTAGTAGGAACATGGGAATTGTATCTTTTTCTTCACACTTTCCAAACGTCAGCAAGCTGTATTTGTGCTTCGGTGTGGCTTGGCAGGCTCTTGGCGGTGGTGGAGGGCTTGCAGCCTAACATGGCTCGAACTGGCCTGGGCACTGTGCTAAGATGACAAGTGGTGAAATGGTCTCGTGATGCAGGTCTCGCAACGTCAAGGTGTGAGCTTGTAGCGAGAAAGAACACAAAAGGTAGAAAGACAGGTGTGCTCGCCATGTGTAGTAGTAGCCTTAAATATGGCCTGGCTGTAGCACTTAAAGCATGCAAACCATCCTTTACACTAACTTGAAGGCTGTGGCCTGGCAAGTCGCTACCTCTTCAGATCTAAAAATCAAATTAATTTGTTTGTGGTTTCCTTGTGTTTTTTTTGTTACTATTCCTTTTATTTTTATTGCCTTTTTCCTCTTTAATGTTTTTGCTTTTTTTCTTCATTTCCTTTCCACGTTTTACTACTTCTTACTACCACTTGTGCCGCACGACCCGAGTGAAACGCGCCGACAGCATATGCCAAACAGGAAAAGGTCTCATCCACGAGGATAATCGCAAGAGTACTTTTTTCTTTTTTGAAGGCTTTCCTTTTCTCCTTTGCTTGACGCAAGACGGCGTTCTATTTACTACCCTTTCCATCTTTTCCTGCTATGCTGCAGTTCGACCTTCACTTCTGCTGGAATGAGTTCCGATTCTACCTTCTACCCAAAGGGCCGCAAGTCTAGCACACCAGGAGGTTTGATGTTTGAAGGGGTTCTTTTTGCGCTCGCATGTGCAAAATGGGCGGCGAGAGTGCCACTCCCAGACCTAAGTAGCTCAGTTGTCTGTGACGGCAGTGAACAAGACTGCTTTCTCGTTTCAATTCCGTTTGCTTCCTACGGCGGGCGGGTCCTGAGGTTGGGTTGGGGAGCGGCAGCGAGCCAGTCATGCTCCCAGCAAGCTGCTTCTCTTCCACTTTTTTGGTACGGCGTCGTTGCCAATTAATTGGACTCTAGAGTCTAGACCCGCAGCTACCAGACCTTGTGCCCCGCACTTGGTGAGGACCTAGACCTCCTGCAGACGAATGGAACCACATTGGTTCCATCTACGACCCCCCACAGATGGAGGTGAAGAGCCGCCAAGTCCTCAGTCACTGAAGCCCAGTTCCGGAAGTTGCGGAAGCCCAGCTGTCCGGTGTCAGAGGTCCTCTTCGAAGATCTGCAAGCTGCACTCTTGCAACCGAGGATCCTTCTCAGTGCGGCCTACAGTCCCAGCTTCTTTTAGCGTACCTTGGACGCCCAAAAGAAGCTCCTCAAATGAGATCCCGCACCAGCCGGGAAGCATTGGAAAGCTCCTGTTCTAGTCTATTTGCAGATTAGCACTTAAGTATTCTACAGTGGTGTTTGGTGTAGGTGGTTGGAGGCCATCGCTAGTAGGTTGGAGGCCATCGCTAGGTGGTGCAGATGATGTTGTGCGGTGATCCAGGCATCCTCGCTGTACTTTGCAGAGGATCGCCGGCGCAAGGTCACCTTCGTCCAAGCGACGCATGCCTCAGCTGGCGAAAATCGTGCAATTCTCGAGAGACGAACGCACATTCTAGTGCATGTGTTGACCGCCCTTTGACTCTCCACTTAATTAGGGAACTCAAAAGGGGAACTCAAACCGCTCCGCCTTTCCAAGACGCGTTTCCGCACACGACGTGGCTCGGCGCGCTGGCTCGGCGCATTCGGATGTGCGCGGCATTTCTGGCTTGAACACGAGCGTCACGAGCGTAGATAGGATCCTTCTTTGGCGCCCACTGCGTGTCATGCCCGGCGTGGGCGACGTGGCTCCGGCGTTCAGCCTGAAGGACCACACCGGCAGCGAGGCGGAACGCCGAGCGTGCATGGGTCGTGCTGCGCACCAGAAAGAAAGATGCCAAAAGGTCTATCTAAAGCAAAAAAGGGAATAAGAAGAGGACGAAAGGTCTAAAGAAAGAAAGGAACAACCATGAAGAACATGTCGAAGAAAAGGAAGAAGGGTCCGTAAGGAAGAACCACGAGAGGCCAAAGCACCGGGTCGACAGCGATGCTCCAGGTGTCACTGGACACGCTCAAAGCATCAGGCAAGAGAACATTGATTTGGTTCTACCCCAAGGCAACGGCGGCAACGACTTTCTCCACTTGCGACATCTTGCGAAAGCCATGACAAGCCTACTATAAGCCTGTCAGTCGTGTGTTCAGATTCTCATCATTGCATCTTACCTTGTATCGATCGACTTGGTGTTTGCCTGCTAGGCTGACACTCCTGGCTGAACTGCAGAGGGACAGGGCTTCCAGACATTGTTGGAGAAATTTGCTGAGAAGAATGTAACCATCATGGGAGGTGCCCATGCTTGTGCAAGTGTGCAGACAGTGCAGTTTCTGAGCAGAGGAAGGTGTGAACGTGTACTTGAAGTCGGGAGAAAGGCAGGCCTCGAGGCCTAATAGTTCAAGAAAAAAAGAGTAGAGAAACATGGAGAGCTTTGTGCCACCTAGATAGGGTGGAGGCCATCGGTAGGTTGGAGGCCGAGTAAGACAGTGAAAAGGGAGCCGAAATGTGACTCCTGAAGCGAGTCAGAGTCTTCGCTCCCCAATTCGCGAGGAGTTGACACCACCTACTTGTGGCCTCCAACCTGGTAGCGTACCAAAAACCATCCAGTCAACGGTTGCAGACCCGTTTCGTCCGACTCTGGACGTGGAGGTTCTGGAGACTCCCAAGCGAGCAATCAGGCCTTTGCCACGAAGTTTTCGCCGCTGGTTTGGGCATATTCGCTGCAAAGGCTTCACACAACGCATACATGAACAAAAAAAGAACCAGTTACATGCAGCACGTATATGTACAATGGGGTGTCATGTAGCAATGCCAAGAAAGTATGTTCACAACGAGTTTGCCAAGATTTCGATGATCCAGAAAGAGACCTTATTCCTCAATTTGTCCTTTGCCGCAATTGGTCTTGGTGCCTATGTTGTGCCGCCGCACTCTGGGGCTGCTACGCCAACCGAGGTTCTCTTTCCCGCTTCTGTGTGAAGCTTTGACGTTTTCCAAAGCGATGGGAGCTTCTCGGTCGCAACGTCATGTAAAAGCTACTACCCATCAGGAACAGTATGATGCGTTGATGCGTTGATGCATTGCCGAACCTGAAGAAACTGAACAGATGGGGCTTGTTGAGGAATGAAGAACCTAGAGTAACCTTATATATACAACTGCTTTTAAAAAAACAGCCAAAACAACACAACCGAAACACACAAGAAACAAAGGGATACGATGATCTTTATCATGCTAGTTGCTCCTAGTAGCTATTTGCTAGTAGTAATTCCGCATCCGAACGCTCCGTTCGTCATGCCCCTTGCTCCGTTCGTAGCGATGCCGGCACCGACGAGAGGCGCGCCCGCGAAACTCAGGTCACCGAGAGGCGCTGGGCTACTAGGAGCAAGGAAGCTACTAGGGGCTCCTGGCATCGCTTCTAGTGCCTTACTAGTAGTAACAAGAATTAGTAATTAAGTTTAGTTAGAATTAACAGTAATTAAATAGAAACAAGAAGCTACTAGGAACAAGTGCATCGCTACTATTAACAAGTGCCTTACTAGTAGTAACAAGA